GAGTGTCCCACAAGAGTGTCCCGTATGAGTGTCCCACAAGAGTGTCCCACAAGTGTGTCCCACAAGAGTGTCCGACAAGAGTGTCCCATAAGAGTGACCCACAAGAGTGTCCTACAAGAATGTGCAACAAGAGTGTCCCGTAAGAGTGTCCCACAAGAGTGTCCTACAAGAGTGTCCCACAAGAGTGTCCTACAAGAGCGTCCCGTAAGAGTGTCTCACAAGAGTGTCCCACAAGAGTGTCCCGCAACCGTGTCCCACAAGAGTGTCTCACAAGAGTTAAGAGTGTCCCACAAGAGTGTCCTATAAGAGTGTCCTACAAGAGTGTCCCACAAGAGTGCCCTACAAGAGTGTCCCACAAGAGTTTCCTACAAGAGTGTCCTATAAGAGTGTCCCACAAGAGTGTCCTACAAGAGTGTCCTACAAGAGTGTCCCACAAGAGTGTCCCGCAAGAGTGTCCCACAAGAGTGTCCCGCAACAGTGTCCCGCAAGAGTGTCTCACAAGAGAGTCCCTTAAGAGTGTCCCACAAGAGTGTACCGCAAGAGTGTCCCAAATGAGTGTCCCACAGAATTGTCCCGCAAGAGTGTCGCGCAACAGTGTCCCGCAAGAGTGTCTCACAAGAGTGTCCCTTAAGAGTGTCCCACAAGAGTGTCCTGCAACAGTGTCCCACAAGAGTGTCCTACAAGAGTGTCCCACAAGAGTGTCCTACAAGAGTGTCCCACAAGAGTGCCCCACAAGAGTATCCCACAAGAGTGTCCTACAGGAGTGTCCCACAAGAGTGTCCCACAAGAGTTTCCTACAAGAGTGACCCACAAGAGTGTCCCACAAGAGTGTCCTACAAGAGTGTCATTTGGACATATGTAGCTTTTCGAACGTGTTTGCATGCGGGTTCGTGGGCTCCATCTTGTTTCTTCTGACTGCTCACCAATTCTGCCACGAAGAGGGATAGGCAACCGAAGGTAAGAGCTGGAGCCTTCTTGGCGAGCATGCGCTATTCTGTAACAGTGTTGGAAAAAGTTGCATTGCACTCATGGCCAGAAGATGCTTGTTAACAAGCTCCTAGAGATCTTCTTGTTGACAAGAGCCGGCAAGCAGTCCCACTGTTCCTAAGTCCCACTGCTAATTCCACCTTACATGTCCTAAGATAGCTTCCTTTTGCACACCATCTCATCTAGAAACTTGGCTTTGCAGAGGCAATCAAGTACAATATAGTAATATACATGTGTCCGCCATCATTAACTTTCGTTTGTATGCTCACAACGGAATTGCGTGTTGCAAGTTCAAAAACACAAGTTAGTTTCCCTAAAAGTCTAGGAACCAAATCATTAGTGCGAGCGCTGTTTCAACCAAGCTCCCTGCCTGGGGGGGGCTTCCTTGAAGAAGCGTGAGCTATCCTGCATCCAGTTACTAGAAGTCTAAGTAGCTAGGAGCTCACTTCTCCCTTTCTCAATTAAGCAGGCGCCTACTTGATTGAGTAGGAACGGGCCAAGAAAGAGCAAGAAGCTTCTAGGTGGAGGCCATCGCTACATATCGCTACTAGGTTGGAGGCCATTCCTACTAGTAACAAGGACGTAGCTCCTAGTTCACTTTCATTCGGTGTTGCTTCTTCAGGAAATCAAGCTCATTGACTTCGGCTTGTCGGCCAAACTTCCACGGGACACGGTTGAAACAGCCAAAGTCTGAACGTCGTGTTGGAAACCTAGTGAAGCACTAGGTGTTCTTCTGAATCAACACCGGTTGCAGAAATTTTGCATAGCAACTTGTCCAAGAACAACCAAGATTGTAAGGGAGGCTTTGGTCCAGAAAATTACTGTAATAGAACACTTACAATATATCTTGTGGACATTTTCACACGCCAACCAATCTAGACATAGGTAGACATTGACACTCCCAATTGGGAGGCATCCTGAGCGAGTAGGTGAAAAGATGTAGAACATGAAACATGTGTCATGCGTTTGTGCTGTTTGAGACCCAGAGGAGTGTTGGCGGCATCAAGACCGGGCTTTTGACACCATTTGCGGGTGCCGAGCGAACGAGCGAACGAGCGAACGCGTCGGGCTGGGCCGGTCAGTCTGCTTTGGGCGGCTCACGAGGAGTTGGCATTAGCAGACAGGTTCAGAGCTCCATGCGAAGTTCGAGGATTCAAAGCAAGAATTGTCAATCTGCGAAGTAGTTATTGAACGCACTTTATGTTCAATGTTCATTCTGATTCACTTGAAATTCACAAATTCGTGTTTGTCTAGTCAGGCCTGTGTTATTTTTGAACACACGTGTGATTTGTATTTGCACTGTTTTGTTTCCCATTGGCAAAGAAGCTGGGCCTTTGCCTTTCCAAAGCACACTAGCTTGGTACAAGTGGTATATTCCAGCCGTGAAAGTTGTGCAAGGACTCAGGGGACAAAGGAAGCTTGGAGCCTGTTCTTGTTGTGCTGTTGTTGGGTGTCAGTATTGTTTCACAACCGCCAAAAAACCTAGCCCCAACTAGATGGAAGATTGACTCTTCTTAGATGAGATGCCTTGAATCGATGCCAGAACTCCGGCCTGCTGTGCACCAGAGATTTGGGCAACTCAGGAGCCTGTGGTGAGAATCCAGGGCCAAGCTGTCATTTCAACGAAACATCTACTTAAGTACCTGGGTACGACTCAAGACTCAAGTTTTGGATTGTGAGAAACCACTCAAACCTTGGTGCAGGAGAAGGCCATGCCTCTCTGGCGAAAGCGCTGGGGAATGAGGTACCAAGCTGCACTGAATGAAGTTGGCAGTTGGCAGCGCATAGTACAGCACATAGCAACAGTAGCTGCTTCCCAACCGAGTTTGCAACTGGGGACCGAGCCTGCGAGCCGCATTTTTGCCCATCCAGTTTTGGCATGTTGGCCCAAGCTCGCTTGCCCTGGCTTGGCCAGAGCAAGTGGCCACACTGCCAGCCTTGTTGGGCATGCAGGGCATGGAACCAACCATCAGAGGCATGGCTTTGTTTGAGGACTGAAGACGTGGCCGGTCTATTCCGAGCTGAAATTTGTCCAAGCCTTGTCCATTGTTGAGCCGAGCCCGCTTGTCGGTCTAGTTCATTGCAGTTTGCAAAGAGCTTTTGGCTGTTGATTCTGTTTGGCGGAAGACAATTGGACATTTTCACTTGTTCCCCGTGAAAATCCGGCTTACCCCGACAGTCACGAGCCTTTGTGTAATTGTTGGACTAGGACTATATAGTTATATCAGTGGGTACAGCGATTTGTCTTGTTTTTGTCCCAAGTTGCACAACATGCAAGAGGAGCAACACCAGATTCTGCTGCTATACTCCAAGCGGAACAGAACACACACACACACCCATAGTCATGTTCCCATTTTCCTAGTAGAATTGAATGTTGCAGTGTGTGTGTGTGATTTTGTTCAAACAGACCCTGGTGCTAATAATGTGTTCATGGCTGTTTCACAGAAGCGCTAAAGAGACGTGACATAGGGACAAGTTTGGTTATTTTTGCAATTTTCCATTGTGCAAAAGGGGTTGAGACAACGAGTTTCAGGGCTGCGACATATGCATGGCTGCAACACATTGGCAATATTGTGCAGGCACCGATCGGAGCCTCCAACTCAATGTCAGTCAGGGCTCCATGGGTCATCCGGCAACTTGGATTTGCATTCTGTCAGTCACTGAGTTTGATGAACATTGAAGATCCATCCGAAAATGCACGCTGCAGGAGATGTGCCAAGCACCCTGTGTCCATATGATGAAGAATGGCTCATGTCATTTTGGACTGGCATGTGGCTTTTGCCACTTCCAGCATGGAAAAAAGAAGAAGCTGGACAAGGGTCAGCGCACAATGATGCACGAAGCTGGGGAAGGACCCTTTTTCTCATTTGCTCAAGCGACGGCTCTATTTTGATTGGCTTGATTTCTGAAACATAGCAAACGATTTTCCTGCCAGAGGACGGCGGTTGGCCATCATCATCCCCCATGTCGTTGAGAAGCTCGAGAAGCTAGGTGACCAGCAAGCTTTGAACTTGGTGCGGCTCTTGCAGGAAGAGGTGGAGAAAGCCTCACCCACCAGAAGCGGCGCCTGGGAGAAAAAGCTGCAGCAAGCTCAAATCAGTGGACGTTTGGAGCGCATGAACATCAGTGCACTTATGGACTTGGTGACGGAGTGCTTGCCAGAGCATGTCAATCAAGCCTACATAGCTCTACAACGGAGTCGCTTCCCATTCCCTAAGCTACTTCCAGAAGGGGCCGTGATCACTTTTTGGCTTTGAGTCTTAGCTAATATATACATATAAATGTAAACATGATTGTATGATGATGACAAGCTCTTGTTGCCTCACGGCCTACTTCCTCAAAGGCTACTTGGGGAATTTTGCTCACGTGAGCAGCTTTGGGAGTTTGTCCACTCGAAGAGCTAGTTTGGGTGTTCAACCCATCGGTTGTAGACATCCCCAAAGACTAGAGCTCAGATTAGCTGCATCAGCAGACAGCTGAGTTGCGTAGACATAGAGGCTGTTTTGCGCAGCCCTTTGCTTGCTGGCAGTTCTAAAACCTGGCACAGCCGAGCACGATAAATGTCCACTCTTCTCTTGGAGATTTGAAGAAGTGGTCCATGTTGTGAAGAGCGATCAGAATATATACACATATATATATATATGTAATAGTGTTGTTTCTTGCTAGAACAGTGTTGTTTCTTGTTGGCAAGCATGTCTTATCTCCAAAGGATGGTCGAGTAAGCCCAGTGTTTCATATCTCTTGACTAAGTCTTCACTGACTTTCCTCGAAGGGAGAGATCACGCCAATCACATTGTGTGGCCTTTGCCGCTTCTCTTGCGCAGACAGGCAGGCAATAACTCATGGACAGCAACATAAATTCATTTGACGACCATTTTGGGACTGAGTTAATTACTTAGATGATGTCTCCACACAGCACGAGGCTGAAGAGTTTGCTCCAATTTTTGACCACCACGGGAGTGACTCTTGGTGAATCATCTTCCCGGTCTGGAGTAGAAGACCCAAGCAGGAGTCGGGGCGGAACCGCAGACACCTCGTTTCTTGAGGTCCATGTCTAGAACAGGCCAGAGTGGACACTTCAAGCCAATTCTTTTGGACATCGTGGGGTGGAGATTGGTTGGGAACCTTGACTTTCTCAAACCTGTGTTGTTCATATTGTTTCTCTCTAAGTGTGCACTTGACGGCTGACTATGTAGAGGAAATTGAAATTAGAAGAACTTTTTTCTGTCACGACAGATGGACTGTTTGAAAAGGCAAGACGAGCCATGTGGCCGAGCGTCGTCAGAGCTCGGCTCCTGGATGCAGCCCTTCAGAGGGCATGGCCGTTGCCACAAAATGATGGTAGTGAGCTTGCACTGCCGCTGAAATTAACATGAGGCATTTTCTGTGGCACGATGATCAAGATGTGATGATATTGATGATATATGATAATAAGTGATGCAAAGTTTCATGTCCTCAACTTGAATCCAATAGTTTTGCTTAAATCTCAGTGTTCGAAGGAATGTTGCTGTTCAGTTGCAGTTCAGAATGCAGGGCCACTGGCGGCCACTCTGGTCGCACAATCGTTTCATAGTGTTGTACAACATCCGCTTCCCTCGGGTGCGTCCGACCGTCAGGTCTTTGACTTACGGTTCCTGACATTTCGGTCCACGTAGCTTCGGCCCACGTGTTGCTCGAATAAACAGGACGCCTTCCCATTTAGAACGGAAGACGGTGTGCAAAGATTCCAAATTTACGAACCGGAAGAACTTGCACGGATCCTCACATTGTATTTTGCTTGTGTAAACAAATCACCACGTATTCAGTCCGACAGCTCTTCATGCCCCTTCATTTGGGGAAGTCTGGGGAACTCGTGTATTTCTACTAGTCAGTACTTTGTACTGTATCCAGAATTTGAGCGGCACTTGAACAGAGGTGATCGTAAATCAATTGGCATTTGTGGTACAAAGTGTAACACGAGATGAACGTTACAGGTTCAATGCCTCGCCCCAGTCGCTCTGTGTCTGGAGAATTTGTCAAAACTCAGCTCACTGAGATGTGTGTGCCTCAAAAAGGAGCGTGTCAGGCATGGACTGTCTTTGCTTTTTTTCCTGGGCAGATCAGTTCAGACTTGATAGTCAGGGGCCTGACGAAATACTATTAGTGAGCTCGCACATCAAACTGGACCAATTGTACGACAAACAAATTACCAACACAACTGTTATAGAGTGATATAATATGTAACATGTATATGTGTAGATTTCAGTTTGGAAGTTGCAGCGGCAAAAAGGGAATGCAAGGGCGATGGACCCGAGTGAGAAATGACTCTGACAGCTTGTGAGTTGAGACCTTTTGGAGCAATTCTTCGATGCAGTTCTAAGTGAGAGAAGACGAAGACATACGAAGAAGAGACTGCAGAGACAGCACCTCGCGTACTGGTAATACAAAAAATAACAAACAACGTCCCAAGCAGCATGCGACAGTATACCCTCCAGCAAGCCCTCCAAGAAGAATCCATGCATATGGTGCTTTCAAGAAGAAGTTGCGCACCAGATTTAGTATTCCTGTCCGGGCCTGTCCGCACTTTTGTTGTGAAGTCGCTTTTGTAGGAAGAACTACTCCCTTCTAGTTGAACATGGCCACAAAGCTGCTCTTGGTCGCCCTGCCACCACGAACGGCACAGGAAGTTTTGAAGGGAGGAATTACCGGAGCTGCTTGCGAGGCATAGCCGACATAGCCTTTTGGCTCCGAAGTACCAAGTGCCATAGCTTGCAGTGGCCCAGATGTCTGCCTCAGGCCAGGCACTCTTGGAGAACTGCAACCGTAGTAGGAACTGGGAAACACATGGGACATCACATCAATTTGCTGTCGGTGGCGGGTGTCCATGTACCTGCCTAGTGCATGCGGAGATGTTGAACAACAACATCAGAAATCAGAAATGGAAGACAACATAATGGAGTAATTAAGGTGTGCTGAAGCAAACCTTTCCCGATGATGTTGTCAATTTGTTTGGATCACTTCAGGATCTGTTCATTACCTTCCTATCTTTGTTGAGCTACTCAATCAGTTGGCCCGAGAAGTGGTTTTGACCCAAAGCAGAGCAACCAATTCTGCATAAGTACATGAGAGCTCTCCACAAGAGGATGTTTGACTTGCAAGCGTGCCAAAGTTCATTCACCTTGGCCGACCCTGGACTTATTTATTTGGTTATATTTGCATATAGTTTTTCCGCTTCCGGCCTTTCTGTATGATGCATTGTTGCTATTCTTTGTATTATGTGTTTACTTAAGCCTGGACAGTCTCAGTGTTCCGAAGGTTATTGTATTGGATTAAATATGTGTATATCATTAAGGAAGTACCTTGCCTTCTCAGTGAACCGCAAGAAGCTAACAAGATAAGCTTGGCTTTGAAGAAGCAGAGACAAGTCAGACAAGCTGGTCCTCTCTCTCTCTGTGCCGATTGTGTTTCTCAGGTCCTCTCTCCGGCTTGCAGAGAATCGTCACAAGTGAGGGTTCATTTGGTCATCCGGACGCTTGGAGAAGCCCACAACGCAAACTGTGAGTTTGATGTACAGTACCTTGATGTACCTTACACTGTGAGTTTGAGGAGGTAATGCGTAGCAAGAATGTCGGTCCTGTGACAATCCTTAGTTTTAAAAAGGTATTGATTAATTGTGCTTGTTTGTCCAGCGCCTGCGACATACGAGTTTGCGATGCGTTCAATCATCTTGATACTGGTATTTTGCTTCACTGTTCGACTAGACTATTCTATTTGTGTTACTTAAAAGAGGAGGCAAAGGTTGCCGTTTCCATCGATGGCGGAGGAGATTTGCCGGCCGCCCTGCGTCCAAATCGTCAAGAACGGCACATGCCGCTTGGGCTTTGCATGCGGCTTTTGCCACATGCCGCACGAGAAGAAGATGATGAGACTGGACAAGTCACAGCGTCTCATATTGAAGCACGCAGATGCAGGACCGGCTATATACTTAACTGATTTGCGCAGGACTCAGGTTGCTGTTTTGTGTCACTGACAATGTCACGTCAGGACAGCGTTTGGACATGATCTTGCCTCACATCATCAAAAAGTTTGAGAAGATTTCGGACCCGGAAGCAACAAAACTCGTGGTTCTTTTGCAGCAGCAATGCTCTCAAGCCACCGCTGAAGTAAGCGGAGCATGGCTGAAGAAGTTGCGACAGGTCCAAATTCACCGCAGCCTCGAACGAATGAATGCAAGTGCGTTGCTTGACTTGCTGTCAGGTTATGTGCAGGAAGATATATTCCATGCCTTGCATAAGCTGCGCCAAAACCATTTTATCTCTCCCTGTCAAGAAACATTTGACAGTTTTTTCGATGGGAGAATCACGGTATTTTCACTATGAAATTGTAGTTGTAGCTAGCTTCCACACTTGCATGTTCAACGATTTCATCACATTTGATTATTTGCACACTCGATACCTGCCTTTACATTCTGCACAACTGTTGAATGCTTGCTTGTTGGTTGGGGAATGGCTGAGTATTTATCACCAGAAATCTGTGTCGCTGGGCGAGAAGAATGTGTGTGGAGGTGGCAATTGTGAATCAAGATTGTTTCAATGGCATGCAGCAGCGTAGAATGGCGTTCAGTGATCCAGCCTTTTGACTGGTCCTGTCAGCCGACGATGAATGTTGCGGTGGCCTTAGATGCCCGAGGTTGCCCAGGCGAAATTGACAGCGTGCTAGTCAGCAAAACACTGGCGGACAATGACAAGTATTTTAATGTCTTACTGTCTTACCTCAAAGAGAGTGGTGTTGGGATGACTCTCGAATTTTTCAAGCTTACTAATACTAAGCTTGCCCTTTGCTGCTCCAATGCGAACAGAGTGCATGTCTCACGCCTTGCTCGTTCGCACGTACTGATGAGATGAGAACCGTTTGGGACAAAGCCTGCTGATGATTAGAGACGTTCTTTGAGTTGAAGTGTCTAAGGGGGCCAGGAAGGTACCATGTGTAATCCAAAGGCAGAAGACAATGCACTGGTGTTATCGGCCAAAGCCGTCAACACTTCTACTGTGAGCGGAACGCTGTGCGTTTGTACGCTTGTACGCTGTAACATTGCAAACATGAATTGACTGACTGGTACAGTAGTCAGAAGCACTTTTTGAGACACTGAGAAACCGTCCAAGCTCAGAAGGTGCCAAAAAGAGAGTTGCGTTGCGCCAGCATGGTCAATGGGGTGATCATTCTTGAAGCCCGTTTCTCTAAAGCTGCCAATGACAGGGAAGTTACTTGAGATCTATAGGCATCCAATCTTGTTCAAGGACTCGGCAAAAACATCACGAGATGTATGGTACTGTGCAACGAAGGTCATTCATGGCAAACCCTTCGTGATGACTCGTGAAGACACGTGAAAATTCACAGTACCAGTATAATAGGTGGCTTGTGGCGCTTGTGGCCCGCAGTGCTACTTTCTGAAGGAGCTTAGCTGTCTATTGGACCGGGATTTCAAACGGTTTCGGTGTTGATGTCAATTTTCTTCTTTCAGGTATGGATGCAAAGTGGACATCTATGCCGCAGGAGTTGTGCTCTACATGGCTTTGCTAGGCCATCCGGATCTCGTTCCAGGAAATTGTACTAAATACGAAAAAACGTCGACAGCCAAGGCACGTTTCATGATGGTCATGATGGCTGAAACATTGGTGTTGACATGCTTTTGTGGTAGCTCCTTTCATAGGACAGAAACGTTAAAAATAGGTGCCCTGGCATCCCGTCGTTGGAGGCAAGTTGCCATTCAATGCTTCAGATACCAGAAAGCTCAAAGCTCAGAACAGATTTCACTTGTACATCATGTGCACACACACACATGCGTTGGACACGAAGGACAAGCAGTTCAATCTTGACACAGGATCAGCCGATCGGATCAGCCAACCCCCAACAGTCAATGAACAGCCCTCAATTGGCTTGGGTCCAGCTGCCTCCTGATTTTGTTTATAGAATAACCTTTTTATACCTTTTTCACATGTTTCCCCAACAGTGCGGTTACACTGGGGTTCTTGCTGTCAGTGTTAAGGCTGGGTTTGGCCGAGGGCTCTTGCATCTGTGTTCGTGCAATTTGCTGCTATTATATTTGCGGGATATTCATGCCTCTCGAGATCTTCGAAGTGTCTTGCGACTGCGCAGGCTCACTGAAACTTACCTCCGCAGGAGGCTGCTTTCCCCGACTGCGCTCTCGTTGTGGCCATGGTTGTTGAGTGAGGGTTGGCCTGCAGGCCCGCACCAAGCCCCGCGACCCGCGCTGGAATCGTTGTTTGTTTTTGTCCTTGGTGCTGTGTGCATTTTGGGGCTTGGTGTCACCTTTCGTGGCAGGCAGGGAACCAAGTCGATTGTAATATTTCGTGGCAGACACAGAACCTCGCCACGCAGACTTCGTGGCAGGTGCAGCACTTTGTCAACCTTGCAGTGCGGAGCTCATGGCAAGCGAAGCAGTTTGTGAACCTCTCTTATGTGTGCTTTGACCTGTGTGATCTCCTTTGTGTGTCGTGTGTGCGTGTGTCTTCTCATGTGCTTCCTCACATATGCGTGCTCTCATGTGTGCGTGTGCTCTCACATGATGCTCTCACACATATGCTCTCACAAGAGTTCTCTCATGTGATTGCTCTCATTGTGTGCTCACGTGTGATGATCTCATATGTGCGGTCTCATATGTGTGCTCACTCATACCCGTCCCCCTTTATGTTTGCTCACAGATGTGTGCTGTCATACCTGTGCTCTCGTACGTTTGCTCTCACATGTGTGCTTTCACGCAAGTGTTCTCATATGCGCGTTCTCACAGGTTTGTGTTGTTTTCTGCGTTCTCCCGGCCTGTGTGCTCTCATGTGTGCGCTTGCGTATTTGCTCTCACATGCGCGCTCTTTTTCGTGCGTGTGTGTGTGTGTGTCACCCTCCGTTTCTAGAAGTTTAAACCCCTTTGGTTTGCAGCAGGGGCGTCAGGCTCGATACACCTACCTGACGCAACGAAGCTATGGTGTATCGAGGGAAGTGAGAGCTGATCACTCTCATGTACCTGCTGACCAACGCATGACTCCAATGGTCCACCCTGTCGCTGTCTTTTTGATTCCATGGTTTTTTGCACGCTAGACCCCAAAACAGGTTTTTCCTCGGCATTGCAGCTGCTGATCGCCGCAGTCGTTGAGCGCTTTTGCAACATTTGTTAAACTTTCTGTTGACCGTGGACTCTGCCACCTTGCGTTTCCCTCTTTCATTTCCTCGTGGAACAGAGGTCACGGAAAACCCATTGTCTAAGTGCGTGCCGCTTTGCCATCCCACTTGGGTGCAGGGTGTGATCTCCCGCAATGGAGCGCCGAAACCACCGTGGATCACGTTTGATTTAGCGGATTGAGTGTCTCACCGCATGAATCTACTGCCATAACACTGCCGAGCCTACAGAGATTTGATGCCGCCGGGCTCACGAATTTCTCGTCATGCATGTTGACATGTTTATGTTTCTGATTCAACCACTTCTTTTTCCAGAATTTTCCAGAATTCCATTTAATGATTGCTACTTCACTCCCGGTCTGATCTTAAGTGCAGCTCAGACTTCAAACGATTTTTACAGGGCGGAAAACTGTCCACCTTACCACTGTGCGAACGCCGATTTTCGGCATGTTGTGTGTGCCACCCTCCGTTTCTAGGGGTTTAATCCCCTTTGGTTTGCAGCAGGGGCGTCAGGCTCGATACACCTACCTGACGCAACGAAGCTATGGTGTATCGAGGGAAGTGAGAGCTGATCACTCTCATGTACCTGCTGACCAACGCATGACTCCAATGGTCCCTGTCGCTGTTTGTTTGATTCCATGGTTTTTTGCACGCTAGCTAGACCCCAAAACAGGTTTCCCTCCGCATTGCAGCTGCTGATCGCCGCAGTCGTTGAGCGCTTTTGCAACATTTGTTAAACATTCTGTTGACCGCGAACTCTGCCACCTTGCGTTTCCCTCACTCACTTCCTCGTGGAACAGAGGTCACGGAAAACCCATTCTCTAAGTGTGTGCGCTTTGATAGCGGTTCTCTCACGTGTCAGCTCTCATGCGCTTGCTGACATGCGTGTGCTCCCACGCGCATGTGTTCATGTGTTTGTGTTATGTGTTTTTTTGTGTGTGTTCTCACAGGTGTGATCCTTTATGTGTGCTCTCGAATGTTTGCTCTACTCTCATGTGTGTGTGTGTGTGTGCTTTTTTTCGCATTTGTGTTCTCATGTGTTTGCAAACCATGTGCGCTCGCGCGTGTGCCCTCTCAGATTTGTGCTGCTATCCTGTGCTCTCATGTGTTTTGTCATTGATTCTTCACAGATGTGTGCTCTCATGTCTGTGCTCTAGAGTGTGGAAATTGGTTTATTCACCCTTGCATTCTTCTACTTAACAGACTGTTTGGGGTCTCTTGGTGGGACAGTTTTGGGGTTCTCTCCCAGGCAATTTTTCCTCGTGGTGGCTAATTGTTGGTTCATGCCTTTGGCAGTTGCTGATCGGATACTGTAGGACCTTGGCCTGGCGATAAATACTTCGCAAGATTCGTTTGATGCCCGGCCAAGACCTTCCGCGGGGGTTGATTTATCCACCCTTCATGGCGTGAGCAAAACTTCCCCGGTGAAGCCTTTCCTTCAGTTGGTACGAGTTGGTAACGACCCTTTCTCGTTGCTCTCGTGGTCAACGAATGACGATGCCTTGGTGGATCCATGTGTCGCAGTCGCCGTCCACGCGAATATTTGCAGTCGTGCTTGGCGAGGCTAGCGACCTTGGTGTGTAGCCCTCATGAGTTCCCCAGTTACCAGTGCGGACACCCAGACGGTGGAGGTGAGAAGTCCATTAGGTCGTTCGGGATTGAGTGACGCAGAGGAGTGACACCGGACATGTGACTGTGATTGTTGAGTTTTATCCGTTGATCAACCAACAATTTGAGGGGGGACTGATGGGAACTATGGATCGGAAAATGAAAAATATAAGCTTAGATTATTTGAGGCTTACAACATGGAACAACAATTAAAGCAAAAAGCAACTCTTCATCTGTTACAAGTGCATTGCAATTCCTGTCCCACCAGATTTCTGGCCTAAGCCTAGAGACGCTAAGCTTGACTGCAGAATTCCGCGAATGGTCGCTTCTGTCGCTTTTCCTGTGCCGTTTCAATGAAGTACACAGTACACAATCTTCCTGTTTGCAAGCATATTGAACAGTTCCACTTACGTCACCCACATGTTCAGCTTTGTCCAGCGGAGCTGAAGGCAGATGCCTCACTGATGCTTTAGCCAGACCTAGGTCCAAGGATGGAGGCTTCCAGGTGCGCTTGACGCGTGAGATCCGGATTCGAGATCATACAAGATCTGGATCGGAGACTTTGGAGGGAGGGAACTTGGACTATGAGAGGCTGGTGCACAATGGTGCACAACTACTGTATATATACATTATAATATATATATATATGCATATATAGCCATTGCATGCGCTGCGCAAGGCAGTTCCAGATTGCAAAATCAAGGTCCATTAGACCAGCATTTTTGGGGAGGGTGTCGATGGATACACTTATTTGGGACAGTTTCTTGAACAACTGCATTTGGAAGAGAGGCAAGTGGGCGTAAGCAAAATGTCAGGATTCACATGAAAGTGGAATTACATAGGACTTTCTTGGTAAGACCCTTAGAAAGCAAGCCTAAAACGCAACCTGAAAGAACGTGGGCGAAAATGTTAAAACACGAAGCCAGCAATTCCAAAATGAGGCTTTCAGATATCTTCCATTTTTGGAGTGCTGACAATCCTTTCAAACATTAAACTATTTATAAAGAATCAATTCACATACCCCACATATTGACATATGCAAATGGTTGCCAACAAACTGCCCATGCAGGTCTCTAAGAGCTGCAGGGAGTGCCTTTCCATGATGTTGGAGAAGGAGCTGATCTGAATATTAACATCGCTGGGTATGCTGCAAAAGAGTAGCATCCCTAGGTACCAACGTACGCTGCCACAGGACCCCAACAAGCGCTGCTCAGCATTGCAGGCGATGTGTAATGGGCTGGCAAAAAGATCAAACGAGATGTATCCAGAAGGGCCAACTCCAGTGGGTTTGGCCACGGAAGGACATCACCCTTCGTCCCTCAACTGCGCAAAGGTTCTTGCATCGAACTACCCTGCCACTAAGTATGGCTAGAGATGGTTTTACTAGTTTCTTTTCATTTGCGGATGACGAAGCACTAGAGCCCCCCTGGTTCAATGGCACCCCCTGCCTTCTCGCACAAGGCCTCCCGCCATCAGTGGCTTCAAGGCACTGCCCCGAAGAAGCGATCGCTGCCGAAGCCCATTCCACAGGAGGCACCGGCCCCTCCGCGTCGTGAAAGCGACGCGCGGCGTGTTTTCGGTGTAGGATCACTGGTGGGATCTGGTGGGTTTCCTCCAAACACATGTGCTGTCTTTATTAAAGTGTTTACATGTATATAGTATATTGTATATTATTGTTTAAACTATATATATTATATATACTATATTATATATATGTATATATTATATTATATATATACTTTATATATTATATAAATATTATTAAATAAATATATATATATAGTATTACGAAAGCCAGCCGATAGGCTAGGCTTGAGCTCTTAGAGCGAACGGAGTTAAGGGGGGGGGGGGGGGGGGGAGGGCGCGAAAAGGCACATTTTGAGAGGGTGAACCCGGAGCTTGGTGGGGGAGAGCGCTCCAAAGCGGGGGTCAGAAGAGCAGTGAAAATGTGGTCTGGTGATGCGAGTGATGCAATGGACGCCGAGTAGCGCATCAGCAGATTGGAAAGATCAAACTCCAGCAACAACCATCAGACAACCCAATTCAGATGGAAGACACATCAGAAGTTTTGCACGAGCAAGAGAAGATTAGCCTATTCAGAAGCATTGTTGATTCAGGTATCTGCCTATGCCAAGAGAGGTGTGATGTAGCGTTTACAGCGAAGGAATTGGCTTGGAGGATGTCAAATCCAACAGCTATGTCAACCACTTGAAGAAGTCCCTAGGATACTTGAAGAAGACTATGGGCTATTGTCTAGTAGGCGAAGTTCCACAAGCAGGAGAAGTACCATGAAGGGGTCTGGAGACAATTTTTCTAGTCCTGAGCAGGGCATAGGGACTGTGTAGCTCTGATCACACCAAGAAGGACCAAGCAACAAAGAGTGAACGCTTTGGGAGCGAGCGGTGTGAGTGTGTCCAGTGAGGTAGAGGCTTGGGGATAAGAGCGCCGCAAGAGGAGAAGCAAGAAAGCTGTAAGCGTTCAACACTTCATGATGTGCTCCGATCTTGATCTCAGTCGCAGTGATACCGGCTCCACGAAACTACAAGCTTTCAACTATAGGTGCTCTGCTATTTTTCTTCCCAGCCCTGCTCTCTATAAGGCTTCACATTGATGCACGATACCCGAAACACATTTCAACACAACCACAAAAACCATTTCGGGCATCATTCTCCTGGTGTTCGCTGACGTTTTTTGTTGCACGGATTCTCAAATAGAACACCAACAAGGGACACTCCAGAAGGCGCCGCACCAAGCAAATCAAGAATACTAAAAACATTCAACACTTCATGCTGTGCTCCGATCTGCATCTACGTCGCAGTGATACCAGCTCCACGAAAACAACAACCATTCAAGAATGGGTGCTCTCTTTTTTTCTCCCAGCCCTGCTCTTTATAGGGCTTCGCATTGATGCACGATGCCCGAAACACAGTTGAAAACAACAAAAAACAACCTTTCGGGCATCCTTCTCCTGGTCTTCACTGACGTTTATTTTTACACGGATTCTCAATTAGACCACCAAACAGGGACGCTCCAGAGAGCACCGCGCCAGGAAAATCGAGAAAACCTAAAACATTCAACACTTCATGCTGTGCTTCGATCTTGATCTACTCCACGTTAATACAAATTCCACGAAAGCTACAGGCATTCAACAATAAGTGCTCCGCTATTTGTTCCTCCCAGTCTTGCACTACCATATTGGTCTCTCGCTGGCTTTCTTCCTCTCCTTTCTCAGGTATTATATATATACAGTTATGTTTGTTTTAACCGCACTGTACACATATTTCTTGTCCTTGCCATGTGTTTGAGGGGCAACTTCCTATATTGAACCGCCAGTCCTTGAAATGCAACACCTTCGAAGAATGAAGCGTACTTCATGCAGAGACTAGTAATTACTAGCATCAATATTGCAGCTTAGAGTGCTGTTTCTGCCCCCTGTTTTTTTGTCCTTCCTTTATTTTGTTTCTCTCCTTCCTTTTGCTAGTTGCTAGACAGGCACAGAAGTGACGGTCAGCATTTGATTCCAGGTTCGCAGCAGCGCTGCAGAGGAGGCACAGGCCATAACCTGCGGCGAAAAGAAACTTCACAAGAGGGCTTTGCAGGTGGCCACTGATCAATGCCAGCCCAGTTCCCCAAGATGTTGCTTGATGATTACTTAATCTGAGAATGTCTTGAGGAACAGTGAGAACCTCAAAATAGCCATTAATTGTGAGAACAACACATGACAGAAGCAAAATCTGGACTTTGCAACCATGGCGAAGCAACTCCAGCCCAGCTCTTGACAAATCACCCAGCGAATCTGTGTGCTGGGTGGCTCTTTGTTTGGGGTTTCCTACCTTGTGATGTGATCAACAGGCCGCTGCACATGTGCAGACATCACAGAAAATTAGCACTGAGGCACGGGAAGGGTCAAGAAAGAATGAGGATGTGTAACTTGTTGCAATTGCAGAGAGTCATGCTCTTGTCATCTTGTGAGAGTAAAGAGGCTACGGACTTGACTTGGACAGGACCTTTTTTCCACATTGGATCGCAGAGGCTACACTGATTGCACTGCATTCGCACCACGTTCATGTTCCTTTTGATGAACAGCTAGACTTGTCAATCAACAATGGGCACAGCTCACGCACGTTGCCACACATCTTGTAAATGCAGAGCAGGTGGAAAACGAACGACTCCAAGCCCTTGTTCAGGTCCGAGCACCAAAACTAACCTGGCAGGAGTTGCAGTATAAAGCAAACTATACCTGTTGCTATGCTAGTGTCTCAAACATGGCACCGTTCCCTTTTGATTTGTTTCGGATTGTGCTTGACATTCCTTGACATGTTTGTCGCATGGTTATGGTGCAAAGGACATGGATATCGATTGGTGCTGTGGTGTGTGTTTGTGTTTCAGAGCAAGTTTGTTTTGAACAGTGGGTTGTATGTTCCAGCTGCTTTGGACCAGACTGGACATGATTTGAGAGTTGTTTTTGCTTGCTTTTGTGCGGACTTTGCCATTCTTCTGCGCTTGACCACACCTGCCGAACATTCCCTTGGTCACTTTTGCTCGCGGAACTTGCAATGGGAAATAGTCACAACCTGCACGCCGGGTACTTTCTTGAATTATTTGTGAATCTATGAACATGCACATGAACTGGAACTACCCCACGATTCATGAGAACCAGCACAGGTCGTTCATGTCATTGGAAGATGATGGAAGATGAGATACTCTGGCCAAACAAGAAGGTGGCAAACAAGGCAGAATGGACCAACTTCCATCTTTCGAAGTGAGCAAAACGACTGAGGCTCGGAACGACTGGGAGGAGGTGCCGATGATCGGATCCGAGCCTTGGGGCGGAGAGATGGTGGATGACCTGCAAACCATTTTTGCGATTGACATCTCAATGGTAACAAAATGCAGTATATCCATAATTTCTCCATATATCCAAGGTGATCCATTTAGTTCATTTTGGTCAACCAGGGCCTGGGTGGGTGTCCGGGTGACCCATTGGCGACTTTGACCTCAGAGAGATGCAGAGAGTCGACATCGCAGGTTTTTGTTGAATCGCGTTTGAAATTGACAAGTTGCCTGTGCAATGGGAACCATTTTTCCTTGCATCTTTTAATCGAATCAAACATCCGCGCACACCACGTTTTGCTCGACTTCTCACTTCTCCAGCGCAACACCAGGCACTGGAGGATAGCGAGGAATCATCTGAATCAGAGAGCTCAAGTTGCTGAAGGACGCCGGACTGGCAAGAAAGCCATGAGAAACACAGGTTCACCAGAGTGGGAATGTTCTTGGTGGCAACACATGCCAACGAGATTCGCGTGCTTAGGCCCTTACTGGTAAGCTCAGTAGGCTGATGTTGGCTATTTTGTTGGCTGTTTGGAGGCCATGGTTAGTAGGTCGGAGGCCATTGTTATTAGGTTTGCGTTTTTGTTCTCATTTTGTGCTTGGCCGTTGGACGGGACACGAATTGCATCAACGGCTGCTGGGCTCCAAGCAGTCACGCCATGGCGCTTTAACTACGCTCCAGTCGCCCCGGACTAAGTCTGAGATTGGCTTTGATTCTTGATGTTTTCCTATAAAGTAAAGGTTTTTTGCTCTTACTACACGGTGAACAATTTGAATATATATATATATATATATCTATATATATATACAAGTGATTATATATATATATATTATTATATATAATATATTATGTTGGATATTTCTTGCTAAACAACTTGCCTTTTTGATGCATACATTGATTTGGTTGCACGAATCGGTCTTCTTGCCAACTGTTCAGTTCAGGTTGTATTCCGGCCACCAGTCAGTGTCCTTACAAGGCACGCTGGAAGAGCGTTGCTGAGCACACTTGGTTTGCACCTGTTTTGAATTTTAGATTCTACATGATTCTGCTGTAGTTTCATCACAATATATGTTTGCATCACGATGTGTTTTGACGTGTGGTTTGATGGCCTTTTATGGCTCGTGGCTTTTGGTGGATTTGCCGGCTTCGCTCCTCCTTGAACGGCTTGTTTAGACCTTCAGTTGTTGCAATACCTTGCGGCTGCCCTCCCTCCACTAAATATTGTGGCTTCTAATTATGCAGTTGTTTGTACTTTTGGTCAAATCTTGGAGCTTTTATTTCCTCCTGCCCTGCCTTTTGGTGGCTCGAGTGGTGCTTTGCTTAGTTAGCACCCTCGCGGTATGGGAATGACGAGATGCACTGATTTGATTTGCATGCAATGACTTGCTCCTTCGATGCGGACTTTGGTTAGGATGTTTGCACAATCCATTGCCTTTGACATTTACTCAGCTGCTACAGCGGGTTTCCAGTCAGAGCCCCAGAGTTTGTGTCATTGGGTAGCTTTGTTGCATAGATTGTGTTGGTTTACATGTTTTGTTTCGTTCACACCTTTCACACCAGACATCAAGTCAAGTCACCTTTGGTTCTCCTGTGAGAGTGTTTCAATTCGCGGCAGGCTTCTGGGACTTGAGTTCTCAATCTTCACAGTGACTCTGCTGGCGGCATTTGTTTTCAGGCGAAAAACTGCATTCCAGAACCAAAGAAACATGCAGGTCGGTATGAGTTGAACATGAAGAAAATGTCTTCACTCACAAAGACATGACCAAGCAGAAGCTGCTAGGCATCTTGGTCAAAAGAGCTTTGAAGTTGCAAAGCTCAAGACTACTGCCTTCGAGGCTCGCACAGGGCTGCAGAGGGCTCGCGCACGGGGTGATAGAGAGGTTTTCCGTATGGCGCACTGCAGTGACAAACGTGGCTTAGTGGTGAAGTGCCAAAATGAGGAGAGACTCGCTATCCTTGGCTGTAGCTTCAGTTGTACCACTTGCCTTTAAAGGTCTTGAGAATGCGTGGAAGTGACATAATAATATGTATTAATGGGCCAAGCAAAGAGCTCCACACAGGTACCATGACATACAGAGGTGACAATACTATGACCTTGAGCAGTCCTCTTGCGGAGACCGTTCAGTCAATCCGCTGCATTGTCCACCAGGAGAAAGCACCAGTCGTGACATGGAAGTTCGATACTCAGGATGTCCTGGAGTGTGGATATCGCTATGATGAATGAATGTATTTATGTCTCAACCTACTAGCCATGGCCTCCAACCTAGAAGCAATTGCGTCCAACCTAATAGCGATGGACTCCAAACACTTCCATTGATGAATTGAAGCCCTCGTATACAGATACACAATGATTCTGACACAGAGAGAGAGAGAGGGATGATCCCATCGATCCCATTTCCTTACACCGCATGCCTATATAAGCATGACATATCATGAAATGCTCAAAGGCTCAAAGCAATCCACTCCAGATGCTAGCGACTGAGGCGGTCAGTCCAGACCTCAGAACATGTGTTTTCTTCCATGCACTTTCTCCAACTCAAGTTTACTTCAGTTCAATGAAGCTTGCGCGTTCAGTAGCATTTGCATTTGGAGTTCAAAACAGAATGCATTGTCATATTGTCAATCCCATGCCAAGGCCAATCTTGTTGCGTCTATCCAGCCTTGGGACTCAGGACCGAGCCCAAATGAGGCTTGATCAAGGTCTGCAGAAGAACTCTTCATCCGTAAGATGAGTGACAGGACGAGAAGCATGCTTGAGGTCTTCAAAATCAGGGAAGAACAAACAGGCCAAGGGGATTGGCGAGTCATGGCAGTTGCTCTTCTTCGCTCAGAAAAAGGCAAAGTTGTGGCTGGATGGGCATGAAACTTCATTAGATTCTGGACACCTGAAGCACGACGCGTTGCGTGAACAATCTCAGTGTCCAGCTTTGATCCAAGAGCAGCTGGCCAGCGCCAGGCCTTCGCTGACATGTTGGATGACATTGCCCTGCAAGCAAGAGACCCGCAGGCCTCTCAGCATCGCCAACCTGAGTTTCATGAGTTTGCTTGGAACACTAATTTTTTGTGGATGCAACATGATGCAACACGTCATGCGCACATTGCTTGTGTTCCTAAATACGCATTACTGAAAATCCGCGAATCAGTTCCGACAGCTAGAGCGCGCTTGGGTTAGTCAAGAAGCTTCTTCCTGACGAGAGAAACTTCCTTCAAGGACCCTCGCTTGCCTAGCTTCCCAACTCCCTTGCTTTCCGCTCAATCTGTTGTGGCCTGCGAAAGAAATTGCCTTGGGTGTATTGCATCCCCTTGGGATAGTGAAGTTCTTGCTGGAATTTTAACGAACTTTAGACGCTGAGCTGATCAGCGTGGCAGATCTACATTGTGTGCTGAGGGTGGCATTTGGTCGTTTTCAGACAGCTTTTGTGAGCACTGGGCAAATTGTTCTCATTGGCGTGTGGAGTTAATGAAGAGGCTCCGGCATAACAGGTATGTGCCAGCCCTTCACTAGGATGAGGCATGTTCTTCCAGATAGCATCAGGCGGGCACAGCACTCAGGCCTCAACACTATCAGATTCGGCACCATTGAGTTGAATTGCTTTATGCCATGGTGCACACAAACAACCAAACACACGATGAGAATCTCCAGCGCTGGAATATCTCGCGCTAGCCTGTGTGCCTCGGATCGGGCAAACACATGCGGCCAAACAGCAGATAACGATGAATGTATATATATTGGAGTCTGAAAGCCACATGTATGGATTTCTGTATTCACAGACTTTTCGGGAGCAAACATTTATACCAAACAGATGCATGCGAGGGAGCAGGCAATGATAGAAAGGAACAGTATCCAAATCTTTGCGTTTCGCGTTGGAAACTACTTCAGGATTTCCATGCTTTGTTGGTTTGCAAGCGGCTGACGCGTTGTGACTGACGCGTTGCTGTTGCTGTGCGCGTCGCATCATGTCGCGTCGCTCCGAGGCAGAGCACTCGAGTGGTGAATTTGGCTGGCGACCTTAGAGAGCTCGTTTTGGACTTCAGTGATCCGTGATGAGTAAAAATCGCACTGGACATTGGTGGGTTGTGAATGATTTGGGAAAGGATTAATCTCTCGTTATCCACTATTTGGTGGTTGCATGCCATTACGCATGACAAAGGGAAAAGGAATAAAGACTCCAGATTCAGGAGCGCTTGCGAGGAATTGGAATGCAGTCGCAGAAGCAGTACATCGACTGTAAGCAGATGTAAGCAGTACGAATATTGGACATCAGAGAACCTGGCGTATCTTGAGGTCATGCAGATGTACGATAATTTGTTGGCACGGCTTGCAGAGAAAGACATGGATCTTCCAGAGGCGTCGTCCGAGAAAAGAAGCTAAGCATATGTCACACATGTCTATCTCCTTGCTTTTACATAATAACTTTGATTTCCAAACTGAGCTTGCTTTTTGCCCACGCTAAGGTCGCTGGATCCCTAAAGTAGTTAATTCTAATTAGGCCTTTGCACGCAAACGATAGTAGGCTGTTCTCGTTTGTTCTGCACAGTTGACTTCGATGTGTTTGGGGCTCGTCCGGGCTGGGTTCTTAAATAGGACATTTGACATGTTTTTGTTTTCGTTGTTTGTGATTTGCTAGAGTCTGAGATCTGAACCTTTTGACTGGAAACTTTGTCGGGAATTTGCTTGCTTGGGCTTGCCGTACAACTGTCCAGAGGTAGCCACCATGGCAAAGCATACACTTGTCGAAGTCTACAGCAGCCTTGCCAGCACCTCAAGCTTGAAGTCATTTTTGATGCTGATCCTGTATTGTGGCATATTGTGGCCGGGTGTTAGTAACAACCCCAAAATCATATAGCACATTGACCTCCCTGGAAGTCTGCTCAAGTTAGCGGGCTTTGACCTCGGAAGTGCGTCCTCGCTGCAAAACCCACAGGTCTACTGCGTTGTGCGGGCCAGTCGTTTCAATCTGGTCGAGAGATTGCTGGATGATATGATCAGCAAGGCGCAAGACGACACCCAAGCTGGTGCCGAAGCTGGTCGGACATTGCAAAGTATTGCTCGTCGGTACATCAGAGCCATCGTGTCGTGTTGGGATGTCAACAGAAATGTATATTACTAGTATTAGTTATACTTGTATAGTTATATAATATATAACATATTACAGTATATCCGTTTCTCCCATGATCAACAATGTGCATTTACTCTAGTTTTTGTCAGCATTTCTCCAGGTCTTGCCGAAACTTTGTAGGGAGACAGACAGAGAGAGGGAGAGAGAGCGCCGGCGGACATGGCCATACTCTTTTGGAGGGTGTTGCCAGACCACTCCACTTCTATGAAAGCACTATGAAGCAGCTTGCAGGACCCGCTGTGAATCGAACTGCAAGATGTGCAATTCAGATCATTGTGCTGATGTGCCACACTGGAGATTGAAGCGACCAATCCGAGCTTTCCTGCATTGTGCAGGAGTCAAGAAGTACAAGTTTGCACTGAGTGTATTCTCCTCAGCCAGATGAGTCTCCTTGCTTTTTTGTTCTTGAAAGCAGGGTTTTGACATATGGTGGCCGCGAAGTGTGAGCGAAACAAGTGAACTTGTTGTGACATGATGTAACAGCATCTGAAAAAGAGTACATCTTTGCAATGCTACCATAGTTGTTACAACCAAAGGTCTACGACCGTTTGGCTGCAGACGGCCTAGAACCTTCACCTGCAATTCTGACCTGCTTGTTTTTTTAATGCTGTATCTGGAACTTACAAGTCTATGCTGCCATATCGCCTGTCTTTTCTTATACTCCACACGGACCTCATATATTGTACACCAACTGCAGTTCATAATGTACTGTTTACTTGATGAGTTGTACAGAGGAGTTCACAAAAGAAGTCATTGTCAGGTTGTGGTTCACCCAGCTTGCAGTAATGAACACAGCCTGCCAGGTGACTCTGAGTTGCCTAATCAATTTCGCGGCAGAGGCATCGGCCATTATGCACCATACTGGACCTCGCACATGCACCAAAATTCAGAAAGAGAATACTTTCTGATCTTGTTGGATCATTAAAAAACAGGTCATGATCATGTGTTCACCTCTACCTCATGGAAGATGACAAGGTTTATGACACCGAACACACACACAGAAGAGGTTCAAGATGAAAAAATCAAAACACAAAAAATACTCAGAAAAAAAATAAAACAAACAAACACAAAAAACAAATCTAGACTCAGCCCAAAACCAGAACTCAAAACCAAACACAAAAACACACTCAACTGGAGACTCAAGTAGCAGAAGGAAAAAAAAATCCGGACTCAGCAAAACACTCAGCAAATCCTGTGTGGGAGGGGGTCCTGTGTGGGAAGGGCGTGCGGGCCTGGCCTGGGATGTGGGATTGTGGCCGGTTAACTGATTAGCCCGCTGAGGATTTGAGTCTGGATTTGAGTCTGAATTGAGTCAGTCTGGGTTTGAGTCTGGATTTGAGTCTGGATCTGAGTC